GTCCCTGCAGCTTTTGCCTACTGCTGTACCAGGATCCTGGCATCCCCAACATCCTGGGTCTCCGCTGCAACTTAGACTTCATTCACAAATGATCTCCTCGCCTGGAATCCAACCTTGCTTCAGCAGTTTTCCAGAATCTTGGAAGACTTCATGACCCTATGTTCTTGCATTTTGCATGCCAGCAAAATCAGCACCATGTGGACGAGGCTGGCATACTCTGCTAACAGCTCGAGATGCAGTCTGGCCCCCTTCTACAACAGCTGGACCACCGTGCACCTTGTGGCTGAACCTAGAGAAACAAACACTTCCCTAGAAGGTTGTTTTCAAGAAGGGAAGCCATACACGGGTGCCTTTCTCCTTTCACATGCTGTATGCAGCCTTTAATGGTGGGGTCTTGCCCTTGAGGTTCTTTACTTACTGTCCCAGTACAAACTGTCAGGGTGCTCCTTAACACAGCTAATCTCTGTAATGATCACAGGGCTTTTCTCCACACCCTGCTTATCCAGGACTTTGCATCTGTTACACTCCTCACCAAACCACACCTTCCATAGCTTTCCATCCTCCCTGTGCTCTCTCTCTCTCACTGGAACTTGGACCGGAGGAGTGAGTGGTAACCATGACACAACCTGGATGCTGTGACGTCTTGAAATGTCCTCCTCCAATCCCATTGGTCCACTGCTCTTTAACTCAGTCTCTCTAGTTCTCAGGACATGGGCAGAGTAGAGTCAGATTGCTTTCCAGAATATAACATGAATGGCTTCTAGCTCAATTCCCAAGAGTCCTTGACATGCTCTGAAATCTATGACAGTCTTTAATGACCACATCTCCATCAGTATTCTGAATGGTCCATTAAGTTCTGCTTGAAAGGCTTCTCCCCTATCCCTCCTGCAAACCAGTTCTAAATCCTACCAATCACATGATCAGGCTTATCACAGCAACAGTCCCACTCTTCGTACTCTGTCTTAGTGACTTCTCATCACTGTGACTCAGGTGACCTGGGGAAGGAAGGGTTTATATTCTGCTCACTGTGAGAGGCAGGGCACAGCAATGAGAGCGGCTCTGACTGGTGGCTGGGGCGTTGGGGCACATCTGTGGTCAGGAAGCAGAGAAAGACAAATGCTGGTCCTCAGTCTGCCTTTGTCTCTACTCGGTCTGGGACCTCAACCCGTGGGACAGGGCACCTACACTGGGGAGTGTCTTCCTTCCTCAGTTAAATCTGAAATGTCTTTACAGACTGCCCAGCACAGTATCTCCTAGGTGGCTCAAATTCCACTCGACTGATGATGAAGATTCATTATTACAACTTCCAACAGGTAACTAACGTTTGAATTTGTTCCACTTTTTCTACATCTTCAGCCCATGCTAATCTATAGACCTTTCCTCTGACGTCAGGCAATGACTCTCTACTGGGTTAGGTCTTAAAATCAAAAGGCCAACATTTGAGGGCTAGGCATTTGAGAGGCTGAGACAGAAGGGCCGTGAGTTCCAGGCCAGCCTGACCTGGCTGAGAGAGCAACACCAACTCGTTCTTAGAAATGCAGAATCGCTGCCCAGCATGGAGGAGCAGGCCAATGCGCCAGCAGCAAACAGGAGGCAGAAGCAGGAAGATCACAAACGGAAGGCAGCCTAGGTACGTAGTGAGCATTGGGCTAGCCTAGACTATCAGAGACCCTGGCAGTAAGGAAGGGAAAGAAAAGGGGAACTAAAGGAGGAGAAAGGAAAGAAGGAAAAGAAAATAGGAAAGGGAAGGAAGGGGAGAAGGAGGGAGGAGAGGAAGGATATGAAAGGGAAAGGTAGAGAGGAGAAAGGATCAAGATCCACATTTACTAAGGTCTCCAGGCAGCTCTTCTATAGTCACACTGAACTGAAGATTCAGGGTGACCAGGGTGCTTTACAGAAAAACAGGGAAGACAGATAGACAGACAAACAAACCAGCCACATATTTCTGGATTCCTAGTCCTTACCACCAAAGACTCTAACCTTAATTAGGCTGGGTTGCAACCTAACTTCACTGAGAATTTACCAAAGGCAGTTAAATTACTAAATGATGTTCACAAATACAGAAAGTAGCCTCTTTGATGGGTTTCACAGGCCAGAATTAGACAAAGATTAAGAGGTTCACAGAATAAAGTCAGCACACTTCCTCTGGAAAGGGCCAGACACAAGTGTTTTAATCCCTTGAGATATGCACTGAGTATCATAATTATTCAACCTTGTCATAAACATAAGTAAAGCTATATTCGAATAAAACTTGACCTGAAAATAAGTATAAATAAATAAATAAATAAGAGCAAGAGACTAGATTTGGCCCTTTCTAACTGGCTGCTAGCTTCTCTGATGACACAGATCTAGAGTTGGAGCTGAGGCTCTGTAGGTCCAACAAGTTTACAGGTGATGCTGGTGACATGGATGCTGCTGGGCCAGGGACCAGCACTCGGGAGGCAGAGGAAGGCAGATCTCTGAGTTCAAGGCCAGCCTGGTCTTCAGAGCAAGCTCCAGGACAGACAGGGCTACTTTACAGAGAAATGCCAGCCTGGTCTACAGAGTGAGTTTCAGGACAGCCAGGGCTTCACAGACAAACCCTGTCTTGAAAACAAAAACAAAAAAAAAAAAAAAAAAAAAAAAGCAAACAAACAAAGAATTCTGATATAGATGTCATAAATAAATGAAGACCAATTTACTACAGACATACAAATGTCACACATTAGATGTTTAAAACTGTGACAGACAGCTTTATATACAGAGGTTACCAACAATTCTCCCATGGTCGCAGAAGCACATCACTGTACAGCCAAGAGAATGAAGCCAACTTTATTCTCTTATCTTGAATTTGACCTGGCTGTGACGGCAGCAGAAAAGGAAGCGGTTTGACTTCCAGACCTTGGTCTGAAGAAATGACAGGTGCTAGACACCCAGGCAGCACCAGCCAGGCTTCACAGCAGACACGTGGACTCCTGTGGCCACAGACAAGCAACCCAGCCAGAGGCAGGAGCAGAGGCTAGCTGGCGGCTTCACCTCCTGCCCAATAAACAAGAGTGTGTGTTTTCCTAAGGTGCCAAGCACTGGAGTGGTGGCCACACACAAGATATTGATGGTCATTCTGGGTTTCCTGCTGCTGAGCTCTCTTTGATGCTGCTGTGACTTCCTCTGCTAACAGAGTTCAGACAGGGAGTCATCCTGCAAAGCTGTACTCCTTCATCCCTCCGTGTTTCCATCTCGAACTCACTACCGGTGCTGGCCGTGACTTCTCGCACTGACAGTGTACACAGCTCATTCCTCCGCGTCACTACCCCGGCCTGGAAAATTCTATTACAGTAAATTGATTGTTACGTCAGCTGTTACTTCTTGGTGTTTTTACCTGGCTTGTGATGACAGCTAGCCCGAGCATTTTTGATTTTTTGATTCTTTCTTATTTTTAGTTATTGAAAAAGTTACATAAGCAAATGAAACTAAATGTACATATTAAATCTTAGGAAGACTATAGGTTTATAGTCTCAAACTCTTTTTTGAAAATTCCACTTTCTAATAATACTAGACTGACCAAAGTGAGCTAATGTTTTTTTTTCTTTACTAAATAATTCTTTACATTTCAACATAATTTATTTAAAACATCTTAATACAGAACTGTATACACACACATACAAACACTATTACCAACTAACTTCTGGACCTTATGGCATGCATCACTGCATTTCAGAATTCATTTCATAATGTATTTCATAAGACCTGCTAAGCAGGTCCATCTGCACCACGTTGAACAACTTCCCATAATTACACCCAGAAGACAAATACAGTAGTTCACATTATCTCCCTCAACCTAAATCTTTTTATCTCAAAAAGTTATTAAATAAATCAATGGTAACAAATGATCCATATATTACTTCAACTCCAAGTGACTATTGCATACTGAAAAGATATTTAGGGAAATAGATACATATATAGATATGTATGCTCTAAGCTTCTGCAACACAAGAAACAGTGATCTTCTGTGAGACTGGGTCAAACACCAGAACAAGTGACCACTTATATGATTACCAAGTATAAACTAAAGCCAAAATACCTCCTAGGACTGCAGAAATTATATTATGAAATTAGACTATAGACTATATCAGGATGTTTTCAGTGGCTGGGGAGACGGCTAAGTGGTTAAGAGCACTGTTTGCATCTCCAGAGGACTCAGGTTTGATTCCCAACACCCAAACAGTGGTTCACAACCATCTTTAGCGCCAGTTGTTCCAGGGGATCTGGTGCCTTCTTCTGACCTCTACGGGTACCAGGCATGCTCATACATGTAGGCAAAACACTCATACACATGAAATACAAATAAAAATAAATGCATCCTTTTTTTTTGAGGTAGAGAGTTGCGCCTGCCCATTTTTGAAACAGCTAACAACTCAAATAACACTGATATATAACTTCAGCCACAATAAGACCAGCCCAGTCCCTCCCATTCCCAAAAACATTGCACAGAACTCAAAGTGGAAAAATAACTTTAATGAGTGTTATTTTATGGTATTGAGTTTATTATGGGGGAATATAATTTTCCACAGTGGTGAAGCCATTGGGAAACTGTCCACGCTCCAGTAATAACCATGGCTCATACAAGCCATGCTCATTGAGCACAGTGGGAAGAGACCTACTATACTAGAACTGGAAATGAAGAAAGCGGACCCACTTCCCTTCTTCCCCGCCACACACACCCCAATAGAAGACCAATTAAGTCATCTCATAAAAGACTGCCACTCAAGAGTGTCAACAGGGGGCTGGAGAGATGGCTCAGCGGTTAAGAACACTGACTCCTCTTTCAGAGAACCCGGATTCAATTCCCAGCACCCACACAGCAACTCACAACTGTGTGAAGATCCATTTCTAGGGGATCTGACACCATCACACCAATGCACATAAAATAAAGTTTAATAAACCATAAAAAATGTTTTAAAAAATAAAGAAAATTAAAAAAATTAAAACAATCATGGTATCACCTACTCACTGATACTTACTGTGTGAAAATTTATCATTTCTTGAAGACTGTCAGAAAACTTGGTCAAACTTGTCTGTAAGGAAGAAACCAAAGGAAAATCAAGTCACTTGCAAGCTACTAAAATAAGTCACAAAAATATTACTTAGCATGTAATCTGACAAAACTCAGGTTAGCCTGTAAACAATAACACTTACTTCCAAGGACAACCTCAATAACTCACATGATCTGCAGAGGTCATGTCCACCACAAGTCTACATGTGATGACATGTTAAGGCCTAGAAAAATCAAGGAATTGGTACTGCCCCATCTGCAACGTGCGATTCTAAAGGTTTGATAGCATCAACAGTGTGCCTCTGTAAGCAACTCTGGATCACGTAATTATCACAACATACCTGTTTCTTCCTAATCTAGTTTCCACCATGAAAGAAACATCAGTAGCACTACAGAACACAACAAGGGATATACGCTAACCCGGGGCCATAGGCCAGCCAGAAGCAATACAGCTCCAGGCACACAGTTGGGTTCTGTTCTGCTCTGAGTAGGTTAATAGTCACCCACTGGTGACCTGATTCTGCTCGTGACCCCTGCCTGCTTCAGCTCACCTGTGTGCATGCAAACCTCAAGTCTGTGAAGCGAGGGTAGGGCAGTGATGCTAAGTATGCACAACAAGAAATCGAACTTTAACATACTACTACCTTAAAAAAAACACACACACACAACTGTGGAACATGGCTCCGAGGAATGGCAGCCTTCTACTCCGGCTAAGTTCGCTCTAACCATTTAGGTAGATGAATACATGATGATGATCTCATCACTTCACCTGTCATCTCAGTGATACCAACCTCGACGACAGCGTCGCTGCTGGAGTACTGTGCTAGGTCTCGGATCCCGTTCATGAACTGTCTATTGGCCGCACAGAAGGCTTTGCCAGTGTCGATCATCGCGATACAGAGCTTCACGAGCTGGGAAAGAAGACAAAGTCGGAAGGGAAGTGAATGGAGATGGGCCTTAGTCGACCGCGTTAGCAGTTACACGAGTTAGCCTACTCGATACAAATCACATTTCATCAGTAAGTAGAGTAGTGAACGACATTCTCCTTTGCCTTAGAAGGTAAATTCACAGGAAGAGCGACAGCAAAATGTCGACCTGTTGGGACCCAAAGGCTCTCCAGGACATCACATTCAAATCCATAATTTAAGCCCATAAATATTTATTAAATCCTCCTAAAAGAGGGGCTCGGGAATGGAGGTCAGCGGTAGAGCACTCACCTACACATGAGTTCAGTTCATCATGCACACGCGCACGCGCACACACACACACACACACACGTACACACACACACGTACACACACACACACACACGTACACACACATACACACACACACAGACGTACACCCTAGAAGGAAGAGAAGGTGTGTGGGCAGCACTGTGATGAAAATATAGCTACACTTTTCAGCTGTGGTTACTGAAGAAAAGCACATAAACCGGCACTGTAAGTTAGCCACACAGCTCAGGCTCGCCCCACCAGAGCGGACCTACGAAATGACTAACCAGCCTCACTGGAAACTACTAGGAAAGAAGGGTTTCTCCAATGCCTGTGTTAGGCATTGATTACGGCCTCCGGACTGAGCCTGCATCAGCCTTTCCCTGCTCCCTTCCTCCCTCCCTCCTCCATCTCTCATTGTATCTTCATTGTGATTCATCCACATGACATATGGGTGTGTTATATACATGCAGCATAATAAAATACCCAGAGAAGGCCAGTGCTGGGGTGTGGCTGAACTGTAGAGGTTGCCTAGCATGCAACAGGCTCAAATCCAATCCCTGACACCAAAAACAACGACAACCCTATAACAAGTGACAAATTAATAGCATCCAAAGTATATTTTAAAAAATAATATTTTTACAAATACTAATATTTCAATAAAATACATGCATATTCTTTTGCATGCTTAGAAAATTTCCGCAAGAATTTGAAAGGCACTAAGTGGTTTTACTCCTCCAGCAGAGGGTCAGATGGTCAAAGGGAACTAGGTGGGTATACTCCTCCAGCAGAGGGTCAGATGGTCAGCAGCTTTCACTGGGCACACTTCTCCTGCCTTTGAATTTTGTTCCATATAGGTAATGTTACTCAACAAATTGAATATCAAAAATAATTAAATTAAAAGGAAAGGCTAATAGTACAGCATGATTAAAACTGGATTTTCAGCTCAGTCTATTTAAACTCAAATCCTAATGGCATTTAAGTGGATCTAGGTGACCTTAGCCTTAACAAACTTGCAAGACTCCCTGCATAATAATAACAATGGCACTAACCTACAGGAGGCTTCTATCCAGAGCCACCACACAAAAATCCCAGCAGAGCCACCACAGGTACCTGGTAGCTACCCAGCAGAGGTCAGCTTCCCTGTCAGCAAGGTTCCTGGCTGCTACTTGCTTCTGTTTTCACTTTATATGAAACAAAGAGAAGGCAGAGAAGGGAAAGTAGAGAGGCGACAGAGGGTTTGCACAGAAAAAGAGATTTTCATTACTGCAAAAGAACGTGCTGTTTCTAGACTAGGAGGAAGAAATAAAAACATTCCCACCAAGCAGTATGAGAGCACTGTGTCAATCTTAGTGGTCAGCCACGCAGGGCCACGGTAGATCAATGCAGGGCCACAGAGGAGGCAGCGAGAGATCTGTGATCTATAAAGAGCACTGTGTCAGTCTTAGTGGTCAGCCACGCAGGGCCACGGTGGATCAATGCAGGGCCACAGAGGAGGCAGCGAGAGATCTGTGATCTATAAAGAGCACTGTGCCAATCTTAGTGGTCAGCCACGCAGGACCACAGAAGAGGAGACAATAGACCTGTGATCTGTGAAGAGCACTACAATAGTCTCAGCAGTCAGCCACGCAGGGCCACAGTGGAGCCATGCAGGGCCACAGAGGAAGCAGTGAGAGACTTGCAATCTGTGAAGACCACTGCATCAGTCTCAGCAGTCAGCCACGCAGGGCCACAGTGGAGCCATGCAGGGCCACAGAGGAGGCAGCAAGAGACCTGCCTTCTGCTCTGGAGGGAAGAAATGGCATCTAGCCATTTCAGGAATCTGTAGCTTTACCAAACAGACTGTAACTTCATTACAGCCTAGGTATTGGGCAGATTACATCATAAAGCTTCAGAAAAGGGGAATTCCTCTAGGCGTGGTGGTGGCTATAGCCCTAGCCTTCAGAGGCTGGGGCAAAAGAATCATTAGCATGGGGCTAAATCGCCCCGCTGGAGATGCTCAGGGTGATGATGGAGTAGAAACTTGGGATTACACAGTATGGGGTCCAGCTAAATCTCCCCTGGTAGAGATATTCAGGATGATAATGCACAGTCAGAAGAAAACACAGTAGAAGGAACTCTCCCTCTCCTAGTCAGGACAGCAAGTCAGCCACAACTATACTCAGGAGTGAGGAAAATCCACACAAACCCCAGAATGCAAAGATCTGGGTCCCAGATGCCTCCAGCCTTAACATTTAATGATGAAGTGAGCGGGGTGTAAGATGGTCGGACTCAAGGACAGACAATGGCCGCCAGGGACATCTTTTGAGTGAGTATTTTTTGGGTCACCAGTGGGAGCAAGTTGCCTGCCAGGCACAAGGTAAGACTTTTTCTTTTCTAATAAAAGCAGACTAAGAAGTCTGCAAAATTCCATACAGTGGACAGGTCATTTGCTTGTAAAATATATACAAAAAGTTTCACACCCAGGCCCACCTAAAAGAACACCAAGAAGTCTGCACAGGGACGAAGTCATATAGCTATGAGGTATACAGGAAGTCACTCTTCTGTGCCCCTGGCTAAAAAAAAACCAAATAGGTTCACAGCAAGGAGAGACCGTTTGTTTGCATGCCACTTGTGTGGCAAAGTCTTCACCTCAAAGACCACGACAGAAGACACAGGGAAAAGCCTTTTGTGTGTGGCTGTTGTGCCGAGGCATTTGCCAAGAGGCATGAGAGACATGTGCACAGTGAAAGGAGGCGGCCACCAATGGTGCCGTCCAGAGTGAGCTGAGCAGTCGCAGAAGTAGCAATGGCCCCTGAAGCAAAGCAGCAGCAGGAGACCATCACCTGTGGCTGTGATGGGTCAGGACCCCTTGTCCAGGGAGCAGCAGGACACTGAGGTTGTAGCGACTGCAGCCAGTGAACACCCGCGACCGCGCTGTGCTGGGTGGACCTAAGGCGGTGCTCAGGGTGGGTGTTCTTAAAACTTGTCAGGGCAATTTCGTGCTCACCAGTTTCAGGACCTTTCAGGGCCCAGGATTAGTGCTCCCAGTAAGCCCACCTCCCTTCTGCCTGACTGTTTTTACGTGAAAACTCCTGTGTCCAACTTAGAGCAAGCCACCTCTGTCCCATCTGTACTTAATTCCTCTGCCAGGCCTGTGAGTGCGTGGCACAGGGGAACTGAACAAAATGATTTTCCAATCTTCTCAATGTCTGTGACTTACTGTCATTTTAATAATCAGATAAGAGTATTTCATATAGAAGCTGGTGGTGACGACCAAGAACACTGCACACAGTTGGAGATGCAGGATGCTATTGGTTTTATATTTGTTCTGCGAATGCTTTTTTTTATATCACACTTTTTCATTGTTTCTGAGAACATTGTGAGATGGTTGCTTTGCTGGAATGGTTCTTCATCATTGTGATCAGCCCTGAACCCGGCTCACAGGCTGTAGGTCTTGTACCGTAGGGTTGGAGGGACCAGGACGCTGGTGGATTAGGGCTGAGTTCTCAGAATCTTCTCTTGTACAGTACTGCCACTCCCCACCAGCAAGCATTTGTGGGGTAGACCAGAGGGGAGAAGGCAGGGCTTTCAGTCTCAGATACAAGGGTTTCACAGGTGTAAAAGTCCAAGATTTTCTATGTCAAAATCTTTTTTTTTTTTTTTTTCGAGACAGGGTTTCTCTGTGGCTTTGGAGCCTGTCCTGGAACTAGATCTTTACTGATGCCAAAATTGGTTTGTATTTAAGATCAAGATAGGACAAGAAACAGAACTGTGTGGGCAGACGTGCCTGTAGTTTACAGAACTGCAAGCTTCGGGGATGTTCCACGCCATACAATCACTCACACAGAAGATGTAATACATTTACTTAGACCAGCAAAAGCCCTGTAGTGTACGAACAGCAGTGTTGGTCTTGACAATTCCAGGGGAAAGACGGCTGCACTGCTGGGGCAGGGAGCACACTGGACTAATACCTCTCATCTACAAGCAACAGACTTTTAACCAAACTAAAGGCTGTTGGACCACATGTTTACGTGCCGTGTTTATATTTCACTGCTGTTTACAGTTTTAAATAGAAGTTGATTAGCCTTTTTGTAGTCAAAAATCATTTATAAACTTTGTTTCAGGTGTGGTTGTACCAATTGTCCTTTTAACCATTTTCATAGGGATATACTGAAATACCAACAACTGTTTGGATTATACTGTGTAGCCAGTAGTAAACTCTTTAGGTACTAGCTGGTTATTGTAGGATTTATATACTTGTAGAAAATGCCAACTTCAACATTCTACTTTGGTTCTTAAGAGTTCTCTTCTTTTTAAAACATATATTAATTTCATTTTCTTAAAATAATCTAAGTCAGCCAGACAATCATGGTACAGGCCTTTAATCCCAGCACTTAGGAGGCAGAGGCAGGCGGATCTCTTTGAGTTCAAGGTCAGCCTGGTCTACAGAGTGAGTTCCAGGGCATCCAGGGCTACACAAAGAAACCCTATCTCAGAAAAAGAAAAAAAAAATCTATCTAAGCAGTCACAAACAAGCAGGACAGAAGGCCAGAGGTGCAGGGGGCCTAAGACAGAGAGGTACTGAGACTGAGAACAAAGAGATGAGGGTGTCAGAGAGTGGTGGGCTAGCAGCACTCTAGAGCTCAGAGACTACAGCCGAACAGTGAGCCAGAGACTGTGGCCACAGACATATGTGACAGCATTAGCACAGCCAGCATCGCAGGAGAACAGGCGCAGAACCACACTGTAGTGGCCCCAGAGGAAGGGCTGGCTTGGTGATGTAGAAAGGGCAGAGATTTTGCCTATTAAATGGCAGTGATGGATAAAAATATAACTAAATAATAAAAAGCTGGAAACAAGAGTTTTTGCGTACGTATAAATGTCAGCATGGTCTAAAGTGTCGGGCTGGTAGCCTAGCCTATTCGTCCAGCACCTTTTCACTAAAGGATTACTGTGTCATAGGCACTTGCTAGTTGATAGGAGCACAAACAACTCATTGCCTGGTAAGTGACCTCTCTCCTCTCCTCTCCTCTCCTCTCCTCTCCTCTCCTCTCTTCTCCTCTCCTTTTTCCATGTTTAACTGTTGGAAATTGAGGAGAGATTTCACAGACAGGTACCGAGCACATCAAAGAAAAGATGCAGTAGACACAGAGATCAAATCTAGATGGCTCCTGTGAGAGGCCATGATGCTGCGAACACCAGAACGCCTTCCAGAGTGCAAACACCAGAACGCCTTCCAGAGTGCATACCTGGACCCATGAACACGACCACTCGAGAGGACTGCACAAGCCAGAACCAACTACTGGTGGCATACAGCATATGCAAAATAACCATGCACTAAGTCACCAAACAAGTTTAGTCGGTCACTGGTATGATTTACAATGATATCATAAGCAGAACTTACCTTGCATGATGTTATGAAAGCTGGGAACTGAAGGCACCACCCCCAAAAGTTCCTCACGTTGCCACACTTCCATAATCACCATCCCTTGTGTGCCTCATGGTCTACTCTAACATCCACAGCACCAAAAAGACAACAGCTCAAGAATCTGGACAGGTGCGCTTATTGTATAGGGAATCACGATCTTACCCCCAGAGAAACACAGAGAGTAACTGTGGAGCTTTGAGAAGAAAAGCAGGGGTCGGGGAACAATATTCTAAACACAATTAAGTTTCCACACACTCTGGGTCCCCTTTGGTTAAGAAAGACTCTAGGATTCCAGTATTTTGATCATTTAAGATTTGAAGGTTCTTTGGGTTAAGTTTGACTGAATCGGAGCCTGTACCGCCCCATCAAAAGATGACTGGGTGATGCCTATGTACCACAGGGTCCGAAAAGACTGTTTTACATGGCAATACCATTTAATTGTCCAACCGAAATCACTGTCAGGAGAGGAATTTAACCTATGAGTACACCATCTCCAGAAATCTGGAGAGATATCATCAAACAGCAGTTATGAAGGAAGTCTGAACAAATGGGTCAAAAGCCATGTAGTTCTCATTCAAATGCTTCTGCCTGGTTCACAGCAGATAATGCTTTATGTCCATGAAGCATACATCCAAAAACCATTGTCGGTAACAAGAGAAGATGGGAATCAGCGTATGCTTACCCTTATATAAGATATAACTGTATAACTGTTAAGTATTTTAAGTATTTCTAGAATTAGCTTAAAAAGGGAATGAACACTTAAAATTTTATTTGTATTTGATTTACATCTAGGATTTACAACTAGGATCATAAGCTTATATATAAAACCCATCAAGTATCAGAAATGACAAATGGGACATTCTGATGGAGAGGACAGGAACAAACTTCTAGCTAAAGGAACCTCTGTGGCTTCTGAAGTCAGATGTGGACACAAATCCTTGTTCTGACAATTGAACAGGCAAGCTACTGTCTGTCTCTAGGCTTCATTTCCTCCTGTGTCCAATCAGGAGGACAGCACCTATTCACACAGAGATCCCAGTGACATAAACCAACCCCGAGTGAGGGCACTACCCATTCACTAGGGAAAATAAAGAATGAATGTTTTTCAAAGTTTACCTTATCGAGTTTTAGTTCCAACTCCGCCACATCTCCCTCTACTTCTTCCAAAGCAGCCCTAGGAAAATTGAATATAAAGTCAGTTAGTTTATTTCTTTAAAGGTATACTTTACTCTTGAAAAATAATTTTCCATTCTAAGTGAAGACATAGATATGAATATCCTTTATGTAAATTTAATGATCATGCAATGCCACAGATAATAGGCTAGGCCAACAAGAAAACAAGAAAATACATTAGGCAAACTTATTTTAACATTTATTTTTAATTACATGTAGTTATGTATGTCTGCATGTGGTTTTGTACACATACACACAAGCGCCCACAGAGGCCAGTGGTGTCAGATCCCCGGAAGTAGAAGTTGGGACAGTTGAAGCTTCTGATGCTGTGAAGGGAACCGAACCCAGGTCTTCCAGAAGAGGTCTTAATACCAAGCCATCTTACTGTCCCCAGGCTAACTTACGTTTAATCACTAATATGATTCAAATTATTAACAGTATTCTGAACTGTTTGTGTTTTAAAAAATGAGTTAGGGTATGTAAGCAAGATACCAGAAAATACAGAAGGACACATTAATCAAATAAAATCATCCAAACGCCTACTTTCAAAAAGAAAAATAGAGGAAAACATTTTAATAGTTGGGCCTTAACTGACTCTGATTTGTAGATAGTGAAGTATATGAGACCAAAGAGCAATGCACTAACAGTCAAAGGGGCTTTTACTATGAGAAATAGCTCATACAGATCACTTTTCTCCTGTCGATATAATTTTAATATAGGAAAATCGGCAAAGATTAGGTCACACAAAAAGAAGAAAGTAAGCAGTGAGCCAGATGTTCTTAACAACAAAGAGAAAGCCGCTGAGGCCACAAGGCCACACGCCAAATGAAGCAGCTGCAATTAGAACGTGTTAAGGGTAAAAATGGTGTGTAATAAAACACAAGTTCCACGTGTTCTCTGTGTGTGCTGGCCACAGGATCCCAACCCTTAGGCGTGCCGACTTTCCACCGCAGAGCCAACCATACTCCCCACGCCATTTCCATATACCTACTGATGTCCCAGCCATATTCCAACCGTTATTTTAAGAACTAATCAAATTTTGCTTTAATTGGATATTAATGGGAGACTACCTCCTTCTTCTCAAGCAATGGACCAAACAAAAGACAGCCAGGATATAAACCCTATTTCCTATTTCCATAAATACCTTGGGTGACCTTTGAATAAATACTTTATCAGTTCCATCTAAGGACACACATTTTTAAAGCTTCCAAATCTCCAAGATTTAAAATCCTGTTAGTTATTCAGTAAGCATGCGCCATTGTAACTGAGCTCCTCTTGCATATGCTTCAAGAACACAGGAGGCAGCAAATACACAGCACAGAAGCCAGAATGCTGCTTCCTGGCCCACAAGCTGGCCATGGTCTTCAAGTGTTGTTCTAACTACACATCATTCCCTCAGCTGGGAAATGTAATCCTCACCTCTCCATCATTTAAACTCACCGCACACCTGAGCCAAAGAAACCCATCTCTATAAGGAAACTGCAACTGACTTAAAACTAAGATGTCCAACAGCCAGAAAAATCTAGATAACTGATAGCCTCTTCTCTTTAGGGAAGGGAGTAAGTTCTTAAAAGAGGCTGCAAGGCATGCTGGGAATCCTAGCACTCAGGAAGTGGAGGTGGGAGGAGGCTTAAGCCCAGGAGTTCTAAGCCTGGTGACACCTCATCTCAAAATAAATAAACAAATGAAGTCCATCTTACTGACAGGGAAATATGTACACGAGATTAAATTATTACAGAGAGGAAGAAGAAAATTACATAATTAGGATAATGTTAATTCCAAAAAAACCCTGTTGAAACCCAGACTGGTAAATGTGACGTGAACTATATAATGCAGAAGAGCGGGGATTGGAGAACAGGCATTGTAGAGAAGGATTTGCATTCTAAGTATACCTCTGGATAAGTTCAGCATTTTCAACAGTGGTACATTCATTCAGACAACTCCCCAAGAAGTGGCTTCCTTTGGGACTTGTCCCTCCCTCGCTCTACTGCACGACAAAGGCCCGAGTTCCCAGCACACACGGTGCACACCTCTGCCACTGTCACTTCTCTGACTGACAGTCTGAGCTGTCCCCAGCAGCGCACTCAGAGATCTGCAGAGTCCAGGAGCAAGCGTATTAGCTCTGACTTTCAGGAACTTCGTTTACACTTGAACCTTTTACCTTAACTCAATTTTCAAATTATTATTTGTTAAAATGAGCAACATTAGATTTACTTTAATCACTAGTCTCTTCTAAACATATAGTTATAGACTGATAAGATTTTATATATTCAATTTTATTTCACTGATAATACACTTCTCTATCAAATGCACACATGTGTTAAGGCTGGTGCTGGTCGAGTGTTCTGTAGTCCCAGCTGCTGAGAGTGAGGCAGGAAAACAGAGCCCAGGAGTCCTTATCAGCAGGGTAACAGAGCAAGACCATCAGAATAAAATATAAATAAATAAACATGTAAAGGGGGAGAGGAGAGGCTGTAAGGACTGACCCAGTAAGAGACTGTCCCAGTCATCAGCCACAGTGTGACAAACACCGGCAGCTTCTCCTCTTTACTCCACCCTGTGTCTTCAGCTGAGTTCTGGTTCTTTTCTCACTAATGTAAAGGAACCATAATGAATCATGTACTTGAAAAAATAAGCAAATCTATACAGCCTTCCTTATCATTCCTCTGTAACTTTCCCAGATACTACTAAATATTAAACATTTTTAAGTGCAAGTCATTAAAAAGGTCAAAATTAAAGGCTCCATTTCTTCCATAGCTTAAAATTTAATGTTAAAAAAATTCAAGGTGGTTGTGGGGACGGCTTATTGGGAAAGCAGTTGCTTTGAATGCTTAAACGCCGGAATTTGATCCCCAGAGCCCACATAAAAACGCCAGGAGTGATGGTACACACTGTAACCCCAGCATGGGTAGGTGTGGGGACTCACTGAGCAGCCAGGGAGAAAGTCTATCTCCCAAGGTGGGGGGGGGGGTGGGGAGTAGCTTTCCTGGGGGTGACACCCAACACCACCTTCCAGCCTACACACACAAACATGCACAAGCAAATACATGTACAAGCATATGTTCTCCTACACACATGAACACACACGCTCCCACACACACATCCTCCCATTTTTTAAAACAATCAAACTTGGTCTGTAGCTCAGGGTTGGAGTGCTGTTTGCTAGGAAGTGCAAGTAAGGACCCTGGGTTCCATCCCAAACAGTTTGTTTTGTTTTGTTTTGTTGTTTTTTTTAACAAGTCCCCCCCCACACACACACATTTTATTGTCAGGTTTTAAAGTTGCTGGGTTTGGGAAGCAATGTGGGGCAAGTATTGAACTAAGGGCCTGTGCATGCCAGCATTTCACCACCAAGCTACAGTCTCGGCCTCTACAGCTGTTAAATGGAAAAGAAAAGGACAAGGAGAGAAAAATCACAGAGGTCAGGTAAGTCTGGGTCATAGCTCACTCCATAAAGCCAAGGAGCTCAAACGGCTTTTACATTGTTATTATATTTATTTACTCAGTGTGTCTGTGTGTGTAAAGTTGGTTATGGTAACACACCTATAATCCCAGCACTCAGGAGGCTGAGACAAGAGGACCTCAAATTCAAGGTCAATCTGGCTACCTGCTTTTTTTTTTTAAGGCAAAGCAACAACACCCTTCACTTCAACTCTGGCAATATCCTTACAATGGATTAGTCAAACTAGGTCACACAATTATGCAATGAAAAGTGCAGGAACAAGATATGCAAGATCACTAATAAGCACACAAATGTCCTCCGGCAGTTAAAGGCAGACTGGAGACTCCAAGCCTTGACTACCCGCTAGGGAGATATCAAATATAAGTAATGATAAATACTCAAAAACACTATACAGAATTGGGAGGAAGCTCATTAATAAAGTACTTCACTATCATGAGCAAGGCCCTGGACGGGATCCCAACACCACCCACAAAAACACTCACACATGTATGTCTGTGTATGCATGCATAAAATGTACGGATTTTGAAACTAACTTGTGTAGCTCTTGTTTGGTAGAATAGCTCTATTCCAATAAAGGACATACATGAGTATTTATACTCTAAAAAACTGCTGTGTGCCACGGTTAAATGTCACCCCCCAGCCAACTTCCTCTTTGGGCACAACAATCCTTTCCAACTTGAGCAATACTGGACTATTCTCTGCAAGGAAAGGACAATGGCAGGATCAAGGACAGCTCACTGATCCAAAAGCAGCCCCGTGGCTAATGGCAAAAAAGAGTGACACAAAGTCCCCCCAGTAAGACACAGCTCCCCGTGACAATGAGCATAAACCCTGGAAAGCCATTTCTTAAAAAGAAATTTCTCACTAAAGCATTCCTATCATGATTCCTGTCCAGATCCGTGAGAAATTGGGGAATGGGGTTTTTATAAACGCAGACTTTGTAACCAACTAGCTATATGAACCATTCCATCTATAAAATACAGACCACAAGGTCTACTGTAGAAAATGAGACCCATTTTGAAGACTTTGTGAAAGCTTTAGCAGCTGGTAACGACACCGACACAGCCAAGGTCTCCCAACCTCAGGCCAAGGACTCTGACATGACGATTTGGCATTCAGAACCCCTCAGAGCTGAGCAAACACAGGAAAACCCATACTGAAGTCAGAACAAAAGCAAGCCAGGACTCAGCACAGGAGATCAATCCCCAGGCACTACAAATCATAGAGTTGCCTTGAAACTTTCGTTTAAGTCCCAATGAATGGAATTAAAAGGTCTGCCTTCCCCAATTATCTTAGGAACGTAACTACTCTTATTTCCTCCAACTGGAACCAACCAACCTGCAGGCTCCATGAGAAACTCTAAAATGAGAAAGAAAAAATGAAGTAAAAGCTATGTTAACAAATATGAAACCCTACAGAATATGTGAAGCTCCTCAGTCTCCACTCCACCACCCATAAAAGCTACAGATCGGCCTGGGTGCGCCTGCAGTATTATTCTAAGATCTAATGTTCTGTTACAACAGCATTCAAAACAAATC